TTTCAGTATAAAAAAAACAGTCTAAACGCACTTGGGTAAACATTTGTACCAGAGTGGCGCTTAGACTGTGCTTAGCCTGGGTAATTTTTCCGAATTTTTAATCCAAATTTTCATTTTCGATTTTCGATTTTTGACCCATTACTAGAACTACCCTACTGGAAGTTAAATAGTGGTTCTGAACCTCAATGTCGACGGTGCTGCCGTTGACTCATACTCAAAAAGCTTATGAACAAATAATTTTAGGTAAATTTTGTTTGTGGTAATGCTATTTATTATTAGGATATTACGTTTTAATTATTAAATTAAGTAAGTGAGTTACTTAATTATTAAATTAACAAAAATATTATTATATTTTTGTTTATTTAATATATTATATAACACCTTAAAGACGTCAAAAAGTTGAACTATAGCCTTCGGTTCTTGCCAGCACTTCGGGTGCTTTTATATTTATTTATTATATAGTTGTAATTGTATTTCATAATTAATTTATTTATTTATTTTCTTTAAGTATTTATATTAGTTAAGTTTTAGTTAATTTTTTGGTTTAGTTATTTAGTTTTAGTTTTAGTTAATATTTATTTCTATATTTGTGTTATATTTTATTTAAATATTATTTAATTTCTATTTATTTTATTATTTGGTCTTTAACTTAAGAAATAATAATTAAATTATATTGAATAAAGAATTTTCGTATTCTTAATTTTATTGCCAAGTATCTACACCATTATTGGTTCAAGTCTTGGCTAAGGGTTTAAAACTGTAGTAGTAGACAGAAACATATAAATAAATTAATTAAAAATATACTTATTAGTTCCAAATTCCTTCAACAAAAAAATGTAAACAAATCACCTGACAATTTTATTTTTACAATTTCTGCCTTCTACTAGCAAAGATTTAAACTTATAGCCAGGACACAAACTTTTAGCCAGGACACGAACCGACTAAGAATTTTTTGAAAAAACCTGTAGATGTTTAAAATCGACATTATTTACTATAGGCAAATAATTCGTAAATATATTATTTTACTTGGACATCACCTTTCAAATTTTGTTTTCAATAAAAAATGAAGTGAAGATCCGTACCATGGTTGCAAAATTTGCTAAAACATTTTGCTTACTCATCACTTTATTATTTTTTTGCATTTTGTTTCCTGAGTGATCAATATTTAGAATTATTTTGAGGAAATAATTTATTGTTCACGTTCTAGAAATAATATCAACAATTTTAAAATTTTATGTTAAAATAGACATATTGAAGATACACATATACAAAAATTAAGTCTTAATTATAACCGGTACATCCTGGCGAGCTCTTTGAAAATTGTACATAAAATATATACTTTTTACTCTATCTAATCTTGTACTTTTATCAGAAAATAATTTATAACTTACGTTCTAGAAATAATATCAACAAATTTAAAATTTGCTAATACAATAGACATGTTTAAGAAAAATATATCCTGAAATCAAATCCTATTTACAAACGATACGTCCTGACGAGCTCTTTGAAAACACAAGCAAATTACATATCTTACATTATTGAAAAAATAATTTATTAGCATGTACTGTTTTCAGAAAATAATTTATAAATCTTATTCTGAGTATAATTTTGGAAATTTTAAAATTTGGTTATATAGTAAACATATTGAAGAATTTTTGTAGTAAAAATAGTCTTTAAGTGCAAACGGGACGTCCTGAAGAGCTTTTTGAAAACAATAATGTTTACTCTATCACAATCATGTACTTTTTTCAGTAAATAATTTATAACTTACCTTTTAAGTGTAATATTGTAAATTTTAATATTTAATATCATAGTAGACATGTTAAAGAAAAATATATCTGAAAATTAAGTCGTAAGTGCAAACGGTACGTCCTGAATAGCTCTTTGAAAACGCATGCAAGTTGCATCCTACTTATACTATAAATAATTATCTCAGAAAATAATAAACAAACAAGCACTTTTTTTAGAAAATAATTTATAATTTACCTTCTGAGTATAATTTTGGAAATTTTAAAATTTGATATTATAACATATTAAAAAAATACATATCAAAAAATCAAGTCCCAGTTACAAACAGTACATCCTGAAAAGCTCCTTGAAAACTTAAGAATATACTCCTTGAAATAAATATTTTTTTTACTGTCTTAATATGAAGTTCTCTTTTCAGAAAATAATTTATAAATCACCTTCTGAGTATAATTTTTGAATTTTAAAAATTTGATTATATAATAGACATATTGAAGAATTTTTGTAGTAAAAATCAAGTCTTAAGTACAAACGGGACGTCCTGAAGAGCTTTCTGAAATCTTCAAAAAATAATTCACTTTTATTCTATCAATATCATGTACTTTCTTCAGAAAATAATTTATAACACAAGTTCTAAATACAAATTTGAAAATTTTGAAATTTGAAGTCATAACAGACATATTAAAAAAACAAATATCCAAAAATTAAGACTTAACTGCACACAGTACGTCCTGAAGAGCTCCTCGAAACCACCAATCAAAATATATATAATTCATCCTTTCATACATATAGAAATATCACTTATATATTTCCTAGTACTTTGTTTTTATCAAATTAAAACTTGCCAATAGGCAAAATTACTTCCATAAACATAAATATCAAAATTTTGACTATATATTTTACAATTTCCAAAAAAAATCTTGCAGATTTTTTTGAAAAATTTAAATAAATCATTTATAAAAACACATCATTTATATTTTATTTAAATTTTATTTCTTCATAACAAATTGTTACTTTAAATAAAATAATTATAACAATAATAATAATAATAATATTTTTATATATAGTATAATTATTTAAAAACTAAATACAAATCTACAAACTACCTCTAGTTCAAAAAATTAATTCTATTTGCCCTTTTTTTGAAAATTTTGGCAAGTTATATTTTTTTTTCTTAATATATCACCTTTATTGTTTTAATTATATAAAAGTTAAATATTTATTAAATTAAAACTTTAATTATATAACATAATAATTAATTATTAATTAATTATAATTATTAATAATTAATTATATTTTATTTTAGTTGAAAAAAATTTGACGTGATGTTAAAAAAACCAACACAATTTTGTTTTTTTTTAATAATTTTTAAGAAAAAAAACGTTTTGATGTTTTAATTTGTTGAAGGATTTATGTTGGAGCAATTTCTTGCAGAACAAAATTATTTTATATGAAAAAATGTGAAAGTTTAGCTAATTTTACAACCTTGGTGTGGATCTTTACTTACTTTTTTTTATTGAAAACAAAATTTTAAAAGTTATGTCCAAGTAAAATGATATATTTACGAATTATTTGCCTATAGTCAATAATGTTGTCTAAATATTTAAATATAAGTTTTTTGAAAAAAATCCTAATCGGTTTGTGTTCTGACTAAAGGTTTGTGTCCTGGCTAAAGGTTAAAATCTTTGCTAGTACAAGGCAGAAATTGTAAAAATAAAATGTTCAGGTGATTTGTTTACATTTTTTTGTTGTTGAAGGAATTGGCAACTAATAAGTATATTTCTAATTAATTTATTTATACGTTTCTGTCTACTGTTATAGTATTAAACCTTTAGCCAAGACTTGAACCAATATTTGTGCAGATATTTGTCAATAGAGAGAGAGTTATAAATTATTTTCTGGTAAAAGTGCTTATAAATCAATTATTTTTAGAGAAAAATATTTGATGTGTATAGAGTGAATAGGTTGCAATTTGCATGCGTTTTCAAAGAGCTCTTCAGGACGTACCATTTGCAATTAAGACTTAATTTTTGGATATATTTTTCTCAAACATGTCTATTATATTATCAAATTTCAAAATTGTTGATATTGTTTCTAGAACGTGAGTTATAAATTATTTGCTGATAAAAGTACAAAATGTAGATAGAGTAAAGAGTATATATTTCATTGACAGTTTTCAAAGAGCTCGTCAGGACATACCGTTTATAACTAGGACTTGATTTTTGTATATGTGTATCTTTAATATGACTATTTTAATATAAAATTTCAAAATTGTCGATATTGTTTCTAAAACGTGAATAATAAATTATTTTCTGAAAATAATTCTAAATATTGATCACTCAGGAAACAAAATGCAAAAAGGTAATAAATTGATGAGAAAGCAAAATGTTTAGCAAATTTTTGAACCATGGTGGGGATCTTCACTCACTTTTTTTTATTGAAAACAAAATTTGAAAGGTGATGTCCTAGTAAAATAATATATACACAAATTATTTGCATATAGTCAATAATGTTGTCTAATTTAAACATCGACAAGCTTTTTTCAAAAAATTTCTAGTCGGTTTTTGTCTTGGACAAAGGTTTGTGTCCTGACTAAAGGTTTAAATCTTTGCTAGTAGGAGAGAGAAATTATAAAAACAATTTGGTAGTAAAATGGTCTATAGTAAATAATCGTGTCTATTTTATACATCTACAAATTGTTTTCAATAAAATTCCAGTCGGTTTGTGTCTTAGCTAAAGGTTTGTGTTTTGGCTAAAGTTTTAAATCTTTGCTAGTAGAAGACAGAAATTGTAAAAACAAATTTATAGTAAAATGGTCTATAGTAAATATTCTTGTCTATTTTATACATCTACAAGTGTTTTTCAAAAAATTTCAAACCGGTTTGTGACTTGGCTAAAGGTTTGTGTCCTGCTAAAAGTTTAAATCTACGCTAGTAGAGGACAGAAATTGTAAAAATAAATTGGTAGTAAAATCGTCACGGGATTTGTTTACATTTTTTGCTAAAGACAAAAAAATGAATAACAATGATGATGTAGGATGTGAATTGAATAATCATCATTGTCCTCGCAAAAAAATTGCTCTTTAGTGTCCTGGCTAAAGGTTTGTGTCCTGGCTAAAAGTTTAAATCGAAGGCAGAAATTGTAAAAATTATTTGGTAGTAAATTGGTCACGTGATTTGTTTACATTTTTCTGGCTGAAGACAAAAAAAATAACAATGATGTAGCATATGACTTGAATAACCATCATTGTCCTCACAAAAAAAATTGCTCAAACCCAAAAAATCCTTCATCCTTGTTCTCAGAACAACTCAAACCACTTTCATCAACCATCAACCATCATGGTAAATCTTTTTTCCTAACTCTGCTTTACCACCAAGTTGTCCTGATCTTCTGTCCTTCTCTGGTGCACAATCTGTGCTATCCTTTTGTCCTCCTCTGTCAGATCTCTATCGTCCCAACCCCAGACACCCTCCTCGTGAGAATGGTTGTGATGATGGGAATCTGTTTTTTCGGTTTGGGGATGAGAGCCATCTCCCGTGCGGTTGACGCGTTTGCGGATCATGTCGGCGGAGACTGTTTTCAGATCGTATGCCCAACCTGGGGGAGAAGAGTTTTGTGAAGTGATTTTGGGGTATACCGAGTTGCTGTAGGGGTTTTTGGTGTTAGACAAAGTTGTAGGAAATTTAATTCTGTATGGATTTGATGTATTTGGGTTTTGTAGTAATGAATAGTTTTGGAGTTATCAGTAATTTTGTAAACAAGTACACGTTTGCTAAGAGTGTGTATAAGGAATATTGTTTGTTCCCAATGCATTTTATAAGTACACCGAGTTGTTGTAGGGTTTTGCGATATTAGACAAACTTATATATTATTTAATTCTGCACAAGTTTACTATATACACAATCTATTTATCACAAATATTTCAAAAGTTATATCAATTTTTCCCTTACCTAATTTAGCAAAAAGGTCAATAAATCCAGTAGTGAAGTTTCCATTATAGTTGCCCAATTCGGCAGCCTTGTAATCCCATGGGAAAACATGATGGTAGTTATGCCAACCTTCACCATAAGCCAAATAGCCGACGTAGATGTTTTCTGTGGGACTTATCCTCCTGGAAAAAAATAAAATATTAAAACCAGCTCTCACACTATTCACAATACATGTTACAATTATTTACTAAATCCTTTGTAACTTTTAAACGGGTTATCTAAAGTATATATAATATTCGGGAAATTTGTTTAAAATTAAATTGTTAATAATGTTGTCTAATATTATAATGCTCTACAGCAACTCGGTATACTTTAAAATCGCATTTGAAAATAGACACAATATAACAAAACGCCCAGAGCTAAGTTTATTTAACATGCAACTATGTATTTGTTCAATGAATATCTTATAACTTTTGAATGCTTTTTCTAAAATATATAAAATATTTAGGAAATTTATTTAAAAGTGAATTGTTAATAATATTGTCTAATATTATAAAATCCTACAGCCACTCGGTATACTCCAAAATTGCATCCAAACACCCCTGAATTATTTTTAAAAACAATATTTTGATCCGTTACATCTTGGATTAATTTTAACGCCTTTTCTCGACAAATTTATTAATAATTTGTCACTATTTATTACTATTTATTCTAAACAGTTTAAACAATAAATAAGGTGCATGTTTGATTAATATTTGACTCATAATCAAATTACGTTTGCGGAAATTAGGTCACAATGCAAAATTCGGACGTAATGAATACGAAATTTATTTATTCAGAATGCACTTCGACGAATAATAATTTATTCGATATTTATTTATGCAATTTTGTGCATCGACCTTAGAGACCTTATTTTGACCCCAAAGACCCCATTTATAATAAAATGAATCATTAAAGTAAAAGTCTCATAAAACAAACTCAGTTTTTGTAACAAAATCGAAGAAATTATTTATGTGAATGTAATACATGATTTATTTACTAATCAATATCAATTCTAATTAATAAAAATCATTTTATACACAAATAATGAATTATTATTATAAACTGATATTTTTCAAATATCACGAAAATATTTCCATCTATAATTTTATCAAATTTAAACTATTCCAGTGACTCATTTCATATAAAAAAAATAAACAAATTTTTTACGAATGTACTTTTGGACTTTGCCATTTTTTTTAACAATCTATTGTATGCAAAATTCGATTTTGTTAACAAAATCCAAATTGCATATTCATATTGCAATTTGCAAAAAAACAATAAACAACATTCATCGATTTTAATTATGGAAAAAGTCATTTCTTTTCTAATAATAATAGTTGGATAAATTATTTATTTATTCGTGAATTTGTTTGTAATATATAAATTAGTTTAATTAGTCTTTATTATTAATTCATTAGATTTTCATTAATAATTAAAAATTATTCACGTTTTTAATTCCTTCATTTTTCTAATTTTTTAATAAACTTTATTATTTAATTTATTTATTTTAATATTTGTTTATCTTTTTCATAATTCTTTTACATTTCTCATTATATTTATTTTTACCGTTTAAACTTTTAAAAAAGTTTAAAATTTTCAACAAAAAATATTACTATACACTGTTTTTAAGTTCGATTATTTTGTTGTACCACTGGGCCTCCACTATCCCTACAAATACAACAAATGCCATATATTGTTTTGTATACTATATATAGTACACAAATAAAACTACTTTAGAATTTAATCTGTGCCAAAAATAATTAGAAAACCAATTTTTTAAGTTCGATTATTTTTTGCGGACCACTGGGCCTCCACAATCCCTACAAATACAACAAATACAACAAATGTCATAAGGTGCTCTGTATACTATATATAGTACACAAATAATTATAGATATAATAATTTAGAATCAAATCTGTGCCAAAAACAATTAGAATACCAATTTTTTAAGCTCGATTATTTTTTCCTAACCACTGGGCCTCCACCATCCCTACAATTACAAAAAATGCCATATAACATATAGAAAGTATTTGAGAATTAATTCCTTAGACAAAAAAAAAAACAAAAAATATTACTATACATTGTTTTTGAGTTCGATTATTTTGTTAGACCACTGGGCCTCCACCACCCCTACAATTAAAACAAATGCCCTATAACATATAGAAAGTAATTTAGACACTGTTTTTAAGTTCTATTATTTTACTGGACCACTGGGCCTCCACAATCCCTACAATTACAACAATAACATATATAAAGTGATTAAGAATTAATTCTTTAGACAACAAAAACATAAAGTATTACTATACACTGTTCTGAGTTCGATTATTCTGTTGTACCACTGTGCCTCCACCATCCCTACAATTACAACAAATGCCATATAACATATAGAAAGTATTTGAGAATTGATTACTTAGATAAAAAAAAACAAAAATATTACTACACACTGTTTTTAAATTCGATTTTTTTGTTGTACCACTGGGCCACCACCATCCCTACAATTACAACAAATGCCATATAACATATAGAAAGTGATTTAGACACTGTTTTTAAGTTCGATTATTTTATTGGACCACTGGGCCTCCACCACCCCTACAATTACCACAATAACATATATAAAGTGATTGAGAATTAATTCCTTAGACAAAAAATAACAAAAAATATTACTATACACTGTTTTTAGGTTCTATTATTTTTTTGGACCACTGGGCCTCCACCTTCCCTACAAATACAATATAGTGCTTTTTTATACTATATATAGTACACAAATAAAACTACTTTAGAATTAAATCTGTGCCAAAAATAATTAGGATACCAGTTTTTTAAGCTCGATTATTTTTTTCGAACCACTGGGCCTCCACCCGCCCTACAATTACAACAAATGCCATATAACATATAGAAAGTGATTGAAAATTAATTCCTTAGACAAAAAAAGTATTACTATACACTGTTTTTGAGTTCGATTATTTTGTTGTATCACTGGGCCTCCACCATCCCTACAATTACAATAAATACTATATAAAGTAGAAAGTAATTGTGAATTAATTCCTTAGACAAAAAAAAACAAAAAATATTACTATACACTGTTTTTGAGTTTGATTATTTTTTTGGACCACTGGGCCTCCACTATCCCTACAAATAACATATAGTGCTTTTTTATACTATATATAGTACACAAATGAAACTACTTTAAAATCAAATCTGTGCCAAAAACAATTAGAATAGCAATTTTCTAAGTTCGATTATTTTTTTCGGACCACTGGGCCTCCACTAACCCTACAAATACAACAAATACCACACGGTGCTCTGTATACCTACTACATATAGTACACAAATAAAACTACTTTAGAATCCAATCCGTGCCAAAAATAATAGGGATTCCAATTTTTCGGCTCGATATTTTTGTCGAACCACTGGGCCTCCACCACCCCTACACAACAAATGCAAATTTCTTGGAGAATATAAAAAAATTGCAATTTTTTTTCTACTCACGTGTCATAGGGCTTAGTTCCCCAAATGTGGGCAGCACTGTTGACCAGCCAGGTCATATTTAAGGACAAGGTATACCTTAAAACGGCGGCGACGTAGTAGGCAACCCAAAGGTTTTCGTTCCACAGATAATAAGGGATGATTGTTGGCAGGAGGAAGCAGAATATCGGCATCATTATTAGGTAGTACCTAGGGAAAAAGATAAGGTTGATCGAATTTTTATCAAGGTTGACCATGATTTTAGTTTTTTTTAACTTCCCGTAGGTTAAAAGTAGTTATAGTAATCGCAAAAAAATCGAAAATGAAAATTTTTTGCATTTCTCGACGTTTCAAAGGTTTCTGAACATTTTGGCATGCCTTAGAAAAAATGGATGTATGTGTGTGTGTTCGGATACAAATTTTTGTCGACGATTTCGAGAACACCGATCAACCGATTTAATTAATTTAAAAAACATTCGATTCGTACTGATAAGGAGACGTGATATTGGAGCACTTTTCCAATTTTGTGCAAACTATTGAGCTAAGACTGAAAATATTTATAAATTGTTTTTACATAAAAATTATTCCAAATTAGGAAAAAGGCTCCAGTAAAGTCACATTCTAAACGCAAGTACATATATGTTTGTTTGAAGTTGGCACTCAGACTGTGCTCAGTATTGGAATTTTCTTAACCTAAAAAATACTATTCCTTTCATAATTTATATAAATCGGGGAAGGTGCTCCTGTAAAGTCACATTCTAAACTCCTTTGCAAATATTAGGTTGTCAAATATCTCCCTTCCGCTTTTCTGCTATTGGTTTATAATACAAAAAGGCGGAAGGGAGATATTTGACAACCTATTATATTTGTGCCGGGTTGTCACAAAGTTTGCGATTCTATAATTTACATAAAATTTAAAAAGTGCACCAGTAAAATCACATTCCAAACGCCTTTGCGAATATATTTGTACCATGTTGTCACTTAGACTGTGCTTAGACGGGCACATTTTTACTTTTTTCACTTTTTTCAATAATTTTCACAAATTTAAAAAAAAATTTAAAGTCACATTCTAAATTCAATTATTAATATATTTGTTTGAAATTGTCACTTAGACTGTGTCTAGACAGACACATTTTTCATTTTTTATGCTGGTTTGTTGTTTTTGCATAGAAATTATTGTAATTTTATACAAATTAGGAAAAATGCTCGAGTAATGTCACAATCTAAATGCAATTGCTAATATTTTTGTTTGAAATTGTCACTTAGACTGTGCCTAGACAGACATATTTTTCATTTTTTTTGCTGGTTTGTTGTTTTTGCATAAATAATAATAATAATTTTATACAAATTAGGAAAAATGCTCCAGTAATGTCACAATCTAAATGCAATTATTAATATATTTGTTTGAAATTGTCACTTAGACTGTGCCTAGACAGACACATTTTTCATTTTGATTCATAAATTTCCAATAATTTTTTTTTGAATTTTCTAAAACTCAAGTCAATTTTTATCATATTGCACAATCTACGTTTTTTTTTAACATTTTCAAACATTTTTTAAAAACTTGGTACATTTTGTGAATAGTAATACTTTTTATATGTAAGGTTTTTTAATAAATCAAAAAAATACCCAGGCTAAGCACAGTCTAAGCGCCACTCTGGTACAAATGTTTTCCCAAGTGCGTTCAGACTGTTTTTGTAATTGAGCACTTTCTCAATTTTGTGAGAAAACTATTGAAAAATGCGAAAATGCCGCCAAGCTAAGCACAGTGTAAGTGAAAATGTCGCACAGAATTATTTGCAAATGCGTTTAGACTGTGACTATGCGGGAGCAATTTTTCAATTTTGTGTAAATTAGGCAATTTTTTTTTTTTGAAATTGAATTCGAAATGAAATGACGATTGTTAATGTTCTAGAGATAAATTGATTTATGATTTACATTTAATTTGCTCGGATATAACAAGATAGCAAAAATAATGAAAGTTATAGTATTTGTAATAATATATTTGAAAACGTTTAAAATTTCTCGAATATTTCATTACGGTACGGGAAGTTCGAGCAATTTGCCTTAAGGCACGATGCCGTACACCACTAGTTTCTTACTTTTTCTGGAACATGACAATAGGATCTCGTTCCAAATCGCTCATATCGACAGTTGAGCCCTTAGTTTTGACGTCAGGGTGTTTTTTGACCATCAGCCAACCTATGTGGGAGAAAAAGAAGCCCCTTTGGGAGTTGTGAGGATCTGCATCGGTGTCTGTGAATTTGTGGTGAACCCTAAAAAAAAAGCAAGTTGGTAATTGGTGGACTAATGGGATTTGGATTGTCTGCCAACTAAATATTGGATTGCAGATGGATTTGTGAACTTTTGGTGGAGTTTAGAAGAAAAACAAGTTGGTAATTGGCTGACAATCCACATATGGACATCCTGAGTCAGTAAATCTGTCCTTATTCCAAACTTGGATGGTCTTCCAGATTTGGTAAATTGTTTTTTATTACCTGTGATCTCGGACCCATTCATAGATGTGATTCTGGAAGGCCAAAGTTTGGCAGATTGTCAAAAGGGTTCTCAATTTCCAGTCTGCCTTGTAGGCTCTATGGGCCCATAGACGATGCGCCCCTGCAGTTATTCCAACTGCTCCGAAACTTCCAATTACTAGAGCTAAAAATATAAAAAAATAATTGAAATATTAAAGAAAATACTTGAAACAAATGTAACTTTACGTAACAAGTACGTAACATTCATGAAACTTTTACGAAACAGCTTTTGATCTATTGTACATTTAAACCAAACTTTTCAAGAATCATTTACGAAAAAATTACAAAATAGTATTACATTAATTTAAATGAAACAGAAATGAAAAATTCCTTAACGAAGCTCAAGAGAATATTTTTCACATTTCTTATAGATTTTAATTATATTACAAATTACTTTATATTACAAAGAAGTTACTAGTTCTGCAACCTTTACGTAACAAGTACGTAACATTTATGAAACTGTTTTGAGACACATTTACAAAACAGATTTTGATCTATTGCGAATTTAAACCAAACGGCTTAATAATAGTTTTTATCGTGTTTTGAGTAATTTTTGAGTATACCGAGTTGATGTAGAAATTGTTTGTGTTGGACAATATTGTAGATTGTTGAATTTACAACAAATTTGCTGAATATTTCATTTATTTTGAACAAATATTTTAAAAGTTATTAATTTTTTTTGTAACTAAATGCGCGTTGACTTTGCAAGCAATTGCTGGTGTGTTAAAAGGATTCTTACTAGATTTCTAGTTTTGGTTTCTAAATGCAATTTTAAAGTATACCGATTTGTCGTAGAGCATTTTTTGTTAGACAATATTGTAGATTGTTGAATTTACAACAAATTTGCCGAATATTGTATTTAATTTGCACAAATCGTTTAAAAGTTATTAATTTTTTTGTAACTAAATGCGCGTTGACTTTGCCAGCAATTGCTGATGTGTTATAAAGATTCTTATTAGATTACTAGTTTTGGTTTTTAAATGCAATTTTAAAGTATACCGATTTGTTGTAGAGCATTTTGTTGTTAGACAATATTGTAGATTGTTGAATTTACAACAAATTTGCTGAATATTTCATTTATTTTGCACAAATAGTCAAAAAGTTATTAAATATTTTGTAACTAATTGTTGCGCGGTGAATTTGTATGCAATCCGGAAGAGTATTAAGTCGATATTAACAAAAAATGTTATTGAGGTTTTTAAAATGCTATTTTAAAGTATACCGAGTTGTTGCAGAGCATTTTGTTGTTAGACAATATTGTAGATTGTTGAATTTACAACAAATTTGCTGAATATTTCATTTATTTTGCACAAATAGTTTAAAAGTTATTAATTTTTTTGTAACTAAATGCGCGTTACCTTTGCATGCAATTGCTGGTGTGTTAAAAAGATTCTTACTAGATTTCTAGTTTTGGTTTTTAAATGCAATTTTAAAGTATACCGATTTGACGTAGTGCACTTTGTTGTTAGACAATATTGTAGATTGTTGAATTTACAACAAATTTGCTGAATATTTCATTTATTTTGCACAAATAGTTTAAAAGTTATTAATTTTTTTTAACTAAATGCGCGTTGACTTTGCAAGCAATTGCTGGTGTGTTAAAAGGATTTTCACTAGATTTCTAGTTTTGGTTTTTAAATGCAATTTTAAAGTATACCGATTTGTCGTAGAGCATTTTGTTGTTAGACAATATTGTAGATTGTTGAATTTACAACAAATTTGCCGAATATTTAATTTATTTTGGACAAATAGTTTAAAAGTTAATAAATTTTTCGTAACTGAATGCGCGTTGAATTTGTATGCAATCCAAGAGTAATGTTAATACTATTGGTTTTATACGATTGGTTTTATATAAATGCAGTGTTTCGCAAATTTGTTTAAAATTAAACAATCTTTAATGTTGTCTAATATTATGAATTCATAGAGCAACTTGGTATACTCTAAAATTGCAATCGAATACAGACTTTGTTCAGATTTACATAGTGAAACATGTAAATGTAAAACATGTAAACATGTAACATGTTACTGGTGCAAGACATGAATTGGCATGCATTTATTTACTATATATTTTATAACTTTTGAACTGTTTGTTTAATATCAATGTAATATATGGCAAATTTGTTTAAACCCAAATAATCTTTAATATTGTCTAATATTATGATGACCTATAGCAACTCGGTATACTCATAAAATTAATATAAAACCACAATTTTATTTTGATCCAAGTCGACCCAATTTCTTTATAATATTATATTCCTCGATATATATCTCTTGATTTAATATTAATTTGAAACATATAAAATAATTTTATTAACTTCCCGTAGGGTAAGTTATAGTAATCGTCCAAAAATCGAAATCAAAAATTTTTACATTTCTCGACGTTTTGAAGGTTTCTGAACATTTTGGCATACTTCAGAAAAAATGGATGTGTGTGTGTGTGTGTGTGTGTGTGTGTGTTTTGTATGTCCGCTTTTTTTCGTCCACGTTTTCGGGCGCACGGATCAACCGATTTGAATGGTTTAAAGAACATTCGATTCCTATTGATAGGGAGATGTGCTGATTAGTTTTTGGCAAAGGCAGGTCCAGCCGTTACGGAGATATGGAGCAAAGAGTGCAAAAAATAGAAAGCGAATTTTTGAGAGAACGGATCAACCGATTTGAATGGTTTAAAAAACATTCGATTCCTATTGATAGGGAGATGTGCTGATTAGTTTTTGGCAAAGGTAGGCCCAGAGGTTTCGGAGTTACAGAGCTAAATTTAAAAAAAATGGCTGTTTTTGAGAGAACTAAGCGTCCGATTTAAATGATTCAAAGAACTTTCTGCTTTTTTCAACAAAACAATTGATTTTGGAAAAAAAAATTTTTGTTTCTAATTTTTTTTCAAAAAAATTTTTTTGTAATTTTGGACTAAAAATTCAAAAAATCACCCAAGCTAAGCACAGTCTAAGCGCCACTCTGGTAGAAATGTTTACGCAAGTGCGTTTAGACTGTTTGTGTACTGGAGCACTTTTCCAATTTTGTGAAAATTATTGAAAAATGTGAAAATACCGCCAAACTGAGCACAGTATAAGTGAAAATGTCGCACAGAATTATTTGCAAATGCGTTTAGACTGTGACTATGCGGGAGCACTTTTTCAATTTTGTGTAAATTTGGCAACTATTTTTTTTTGGAATTTGATTCGAAATGAAATGACGATTGTTAATGTTCTGGAGATGATAAATTGATTTATTTATAATTAACTTTCCATGGAGTAAGTAATCGCAAAAAAATCGAAAATGAAAATTTTTATATATCTTCACGTTTCAGAGGTTTCTGAATATGTTGGCATACCTTGGACAAAATTGATGAATGTGTGTGTGTATGTGTGTGTGTGTGCGTGCATGTGTGTGTGTTCGGATACAAATTTTCGTCGACGATTTCGGGAACACGGATAAAGCAATTTGAATAATTCAAAAAACATTCTAGCCGTTCCGAAGATATGGGGCAAAAAGGGCCAAAAACGGTAACTCAGTTTTTAAGAGAACGGAGCGTCCGATTTGTATAGTTCAAAAAACATTTTACTTGTATGAACAAGATGAAGATTTGATCAAATTTTCATGAAGATAGGACTAGCGGTTTCGGAGATCTAGTAAAAAAAAACTAAAAAAAAATAACATTTGGCGGTCAACAATAATCATTAGACATTAGACATATGCATATCAAATTATCAGATATTTTATTGAGATTTTTACAATAAGTATAAGTTTTGTTTACATTCCTATGGGTTCCGTACTAATGTTTTTCCGTTAGACAGCGACGCGGCGCTTACGCGCTTTATATTTTGTCTCTATGCAGTTAAAGAAGTACGATTGCTTTGAAAAAAAGTTCAGATCTTCCAAAATATATCAAAATGAAGATAACATTTTTTCCAAAAAAAAATTTTTATAAAAAAAATTGTTTAAAAATTTTTTTTTAAAAAAAAATTTTATTTTCAAAAAAAGTATTTTTTTGTCCAATTTAAAATTTCTAAAAAATCTTATTTTTTCGAAGTAAAATTTTTTCAAAAATGTTAATCGTTTTTAAAAAAATAATAATTTTTGGTACGGGAAGTTCCAGCAATTTGCCTCAAGGCACGATGCCTTAATTGCCTTAAGACAGAATTCCACTTACAGCTAGTCTTCTACCAACTCATTCGGAATTTTATCTTTAATTTTTTTCGACTTTCACGATGACTTTTCAAAAATTTCGACAACACTTTTATTATTAACAATACAGGTCAATTGACCCCAATTATTTATGGTAGAGAATGATTTGGCTAAAATATCCAAAACATTTCAACTAATTTGACAAAGTCATTGTCGAAGTAATAACAAAAAAAAAATTAATAAACGGAACCAAAAAATTGGGTTCCGTTACATGAAATTGGGAGGATGATTATAAGATTTTTGGTGACTTCATTTTAAAACTGGGCCAAAAAACGGGATACAAACCCATTTTAAAGTATACCGAGTTGCTGAAGGGTAATATAACATTAGACAATATTATAGATTATTCAATTTTAAACAAATTTGCCATATATTACATTAATATTAAACAAACAGTTCAAAAGTTATAAAATATATAGTAAATAAAAGCATGACAATTCACGTACTTGCACTAGAAACATTGTTCTACTATATAAATCTGAACAAAGTCTGTATTCAATTGCAATTTTAGAGAATACCGAGTTGCACTAGGGCTTCATAATATTAGACAATATTATAGATTATTCATTTTTAAACAAATTTGCGAAATACTTCATTTATATAAAACCAATCGTTTAAAAGTTACAAGAGCTACAATAAACAAATGCACCAAAAAGTTGCGCAATGTAAATATGACTAAGAGTTGATATTACATGTTCCAATGTAAGTTTTAAGTATACCGAGTTGTTGAATGGTAATATAACATTAGAAAATATTATAGATTGTTCAATTTTGAACAAATTTGCCATATATTACATTAATATTAAACAAACAGTTCAAAAGTTATAAAATATATAGTAAATCAATGCATGCCAATCCATGTACTTGCACTGGAAAGTTGGATCCACTACGTAAATCTGAATAAAGTCGCTACTCAATTGCAATTTTAAAGTATACCGAGTTGCTGTAGGGTCTTATAATGTTATAAAATATTGTAGAGTATTTAATTTTAAACAAATTTGTCTAACACACTATTTACATACCTCAACTCAAAAGTTATGAATTATAATATAAATATATGTACCACTTTTTTTTCATAAATTCACTTTCCTTATACTGCAAAACGATTATCCGTTTAATTTACATCATTGACAGTTGTAAAATTTTCTTTTTCATTATCCATTAAATTTATATAATTGTAAAATAGATAGTTGAGTTAGTACTTAAATATTAGAAAGTCGAAAAGTCGACGACATTCACCTTGAGGATTTAATTTGTCAGTAATTATTTTAATTATAAATTATTCGCAAACAAATTATCGTAAACAAATAGTTTATGATTGGAAATGTGCAAATGGAATAAAATTTTACTAGTCCCTTTGTACTATAAATAGTACGTAAGTTTGAAGTTGCAAATTGTGATTTTATAGGTGCATTTACTTATAATATCTTATGTAGTAACTTTTGAACAGTTTGAGCAAAATTTATAAGATATTTGGCAAAATTGTTTAAAATTAAATTATCTATAATACTTTTTTATTTTATAAAGCCGTACAACAACTCGGTATACTTTAAAATGGCATTAGAAAACCGAAAATTAATTTAGAGACGTTAAAGGTACCACTGTTTGCAAAATAATTTGTAACTTTTTAAATAGTTAAGGAATATAAATAGTGTTTTCGGGAAATTTGTTCTAAATTGAATTATCTAACATATTCTATAATATCATAAAGCCCTACAGCAACTCGGTATACTTTAAAATTCTATTAGAAACTACAAATGAACTAATATGGTTTTACTTCTTGAAACGATCACAATTTGTAAACGGTTTGGGTATATGTAAACATTTGTTGATAAATTTATTATTTAATTATATTATATATATATATATATATATATATACGTATATATATATATATATATATATATATTTAATAATGTTTTCTACTTACTAAATAGTGAGGTAGTTAGTTGGGCCGCCGTGAAAACTAAATAAAGTCCATACAAAGCTGCAATGTGTAAATAAATGAAGGCCAAAATGTTTCTCCAAACTAATTTGTGGTGTGTGAATCTGAAATAAATAATAATAATAATATATATAAATGTATATAAACAATTGTATATAAACAATTTGGTATACTGTGATATAATTTTATCAAATGAATTAAGTTTGAATTTGGTATATGAATTTTTGAATTTTATGTTGTGTACAAGTTTGCAATATAGAAAATTTGGGATATTTTTTTGGTTTTTGTCAAATAACTCACAAATTTTATATCAAAGCACTCTTTTTTAGTTAGTAAAGGGATGGTTCCATATGAAATTTTTGAGTTATTTGACAAAAAAACAAAAAAATGTCCCAAATTTTCTATATTTATTGCTTAAGAAAGAAATATCGAATTCAAAGTCGTCTTATTCATTTCATTAGTACAGCAGAAACTAGATAAAATTCACTACAATATAAAAACTATTGCAGATAATTTAGTGATTCAAAAAGTTGTTCTAATAACATTTTTAATTTGCCATCGAAGAGTGATACCCTTGATTTCCAATTTTCACTAGTTCATCAAGAATATACAATATACATAAATAAATCTCAAAGAATTAGTTAACAATTCAAGTCGATACTATTATATTACTAGTCAGTTAATATATTTTTAAAGTTAATTTATTATTACCGATTGTGTTATTTCATGCCTTCTATATGAGTATGCAAATTCATATTGCATTCTTAGTGCAATAGTTAAAATAGCAAATCGTCACTAACACAGTTCGATGGCAAATTAAAAATGTTGTATAGAGGACTTTTTGAATTTCTAAAATATCTCAAAGCGTTCTCGAGATATTGCATTTTTAAACATTTCGATTTCGCAGAATCCATATTGATTTTTTACAACTTATAAAATTTGCAAAGTGTAAAAATGCAATTTTATAAAAACTATTGCAGATATTTTGGTGATTCAAAAAGTTGTTTTAAGAACATTTTTGATTTGCCATCGAATAGTAATACTCTTGATATTGAATTTTTACTAATTCATCAAGAATATACTTTCTACATATATAAATTTCAAGGAACTAGTGAAATAGTTAACAATGCAAGTCGAAAGTATATTAATAGTCAATTAATATATTTTTAAAGTTAATTTATCATTACCGATTGTGTTATTTGATGCTTTCTATATGATTATCCATATTAATGTTGCATTCTTAGTGAAAGAGTTAAAACAGCAAATCGTGATTAACACAGTTCGATAGCAAATTGAAAGTATTATATAATGGACGTTTTGAATTTCTAAAATATCTCAAAGCGTTCTCGAGATATTGCATTTTTAAACATTTCGATTTCGCAGGATCCATATTGATTTTTTACAACTTATAAAATTTGCAAAGTGTAAAAATGCAATTTTGTAAAACCTATTGCAGATAGTTTGGTGATTCAAAAAGTTGTTCTAATAACATTTTTAATTTGCCATCGGATAGTAATACTCTCGATTTCCAATTTTTACCAAGTCATCAAGAATATATATTATGCATGAATAAATCTTCAGGATTTGGAGGAATTTTTAACAATGCAAGTCGATACTATTATATTACTAGTCAGTTAATATATTTTTAAAGTTAATTTATTATTACCGATTGTGTTATTTCAAGTTTACTATATGAGTGTGCAAATTAATGTTGCACTTTAGTGAACAAGTTAAAACAGCGAATCGTGATTAACACAGTTCGATGGCAAATTAAAAGTATTATATAAGCGACTTTTTGAATTTTTAAAATATCTCAAAGCGTTCTCGAGATATTGCATTTTTAAACATTTCGATTTCGCAGGATCCATATTGATCTTTTACAACTTATAAAATTTGCAAAGTGTAAAAATGCAATTTTATAAAAACTATTGCAGATATTTTGGTGATTCAAAAAGTTGCTCTAGAAGCATTTTTAATTTGCCATCGAATAGTAATACTCTTGATTTATAATTTTTACTCTTCCCTCAAAAATGTACATATACATAAATAAATCTTCAGGATTTGAAGAAATAGTTAACAATGCAAGTTGATAGTATGTATCTTTATTGTTAATTAATATATTTTCAGGGTTATTTTTTCATTACCGATTGTATTATTTGATTCTTTCTATGAGTATGCAAATTAATGTTGCATTCTTAGTGAACGAGTTAAAACAACATATAGTAAGTACCACAGTTCGATGGCAAATTAAAAATGTTATATAAGCGGCTTTTTGAATTTCTAAAATATCTCAAAGCGTTCTCGAGATATTGCATTTTTAAACATTTCGATTTCGCAGGATCCATATTGATTTTTTGCAACTTATAAAATTTGCAAAGTGTAAAAATGCAATTTTGTAAAAACTATTGTAGATATTTTGGTGATTCAAAAAGTTGTTCTAGAAGCATTTTTGGTTTGCCATCGAATAGTAATACTCTCGATTTCCAATTTTCACAAGTTCATCAAGAATATATATTATGCATGAATAAATCTTCAGGATTTGGAAGAATTTTTAAAAATGCAAGTCTGTAATATTTATCTTTATAGTTAATTATTATATTTCTAAGGATATTTTTTTTATTACCAATAAAATTTACTACAATTTCATGCCAACAGTTATATACACTCTGATATAAAAGTTTTGAATAAAACGACTTTGAATTCAATATTTCATTTTTCAGCAATAAATAGAAAACTCGGGACATTTTTTTTGGTTTTTGTCAAATAACTCAAAATATTTAAAATATAAATACACACACATGCATTTTTGCATGTGTGTGTATTTATCAGTTTGCATGAATTTATTGTAAATTTTTTCTAGTTTCAGCTAAGTAAACTAAAAAAAATTATTTGGGAACAATATTTAAAAAAAAAAAATTTATGTCCCGAACTATAGGAACATTTTTATTGGTAATTGTTCAAACAATTAAATCTGTTTAGCTATCCTATAATAATAATAATAATATATTATTATTATTAATATTATTGCTATTGTTATAAACGATTTCTAAAACTGAACTTTAGTTCAGCTTTCTTAAGAGAAATTTGCACACCATCCATCAATCAAAGAGTTAAGTTTAATAGCTTTTCACTTTTCTTTGGGAATTTCACTTTCAAATCGTCTTTAGGATAATATATATATATATATATATATATATATATATAAATATAAATATAAATATAAATATAAATATAAATATAAATATATACATAAAAGAGGATCGCTTAAATTAGAACACTCATAACTCACGAACGGCTGAACCGATTTAGATGAAAATTGGCAGGGAGGTATTTTAGAACCAGAAGAAACATATGAAATACTTTTTATCCCGTTTTTCATTCTAATTCAGAATTATTTACAAACTATCCATGTAGTTTATTCAATCTATGATTCTATCAAAGATTTCATCCATGACATTTACTTTCAATGATCAACTGTCATTCGCCATTCGGTGTTTCTGTTTTGATACAAATATATTAAAGTGCATTTTTTAATCATTACTTTTTGAAAATTATTACGTGAATAATATAAATATTTTAATCACCATGGAAAATTATTACGAAGTGGCAAGTAAATTCATTCTTAATAATAGCAAGCGATGCCAGATGGACGATTGGGAAATTTATTTCTTGAAAATGGGAATGTGGTTATTTATACACTTAGGTATTTATATATATATATTTGTTTATACGTATTTAAATAGAGTATTTGAGGTGTTTATATTCTGTATATCAGCAATAAGTATAATCATCAACAAATTAATAAGAAAAATATTTTGAAATATAGTTTCTTAACATAACCTCAAAATTTGTAGTAAAAATGTAAATAGTTATATATTAATTGTTGCTAATTTTTAATTTCTTTGTACATATCTTATAAAATGTTTTAGGCATTTACAACTAATTGGCATATATATTATCAGCAAATGTGCTTTGATTGGACAATAAAGAGTCCTAATTGAAATTACTCGACTACCTTATATAGTGATAAAATATTAGATCTTGGTTCTATATATATATATATATATATATATATATAAATTTATAAATTTATAAATTTGAAATATATCAAAGAGACATTTTGTCGAATAACTTATTTCCAGTTATAATTTCCCAGAATTTATCGAAGAATGGATAGTAATATTTGAAGGTCCGGGTTTAAAAGTTCCACGACCGAAGTATTCAAAACCAGTAAAGCTAAGCATTGTTTAACAACATTATTTGAAAGTAAAGGGAATAAGATGTATAACCATCTATAACCTTGATTTTTATGACTTTGCTATTGGGCGATAAACAGTAATCTTTGAAAATCCATAATAAAAGTATTTTCTTCTCATAATAAAAGTATTATAAAATGTAATTATTTTGTAAAATACCTTTAAAATTAAAATGAGACATTAAACCTGTTTGCCACCTGGCCTATAGGGTAGAAAGGTGTAGATAACAAATTTTTGAAAGACATAAAAAGCACATTTCTACAATGATGAAGTAGCTGGCAGTTTTACTGAACGTAGTCAGATAATTGTTTGTTTGAAATGTGTTATTTGTTGTGATATAATTGTTATGGTTTTCACAATATAGTTTATATTTTTTCAAAGTCAAATTGGGCCTTTGTGCCTCGCCCTGCTTTACACATATACTTTTTTATCAAATTTACTTTAAATCATCGAATTTTACTTGAAACTTTTCAAAAAGCAGGTAGAAGAAATACTTAATTCATTTTCTATCTCTTCTTGCAGAAATTTGAAAATTTTGTATAAGCTCAGTAGTATTATTTACAATTATACACAAAATACAGAATCCAAAAAGAATCTGAAAAACTTGAAACGCAATCAATAAGTCGAAAGACCAAAAAAGACTTGGATTGAATTATGGCATGTTTTCTATAGAAAGTGTATAAAACTTCCAGTTTGATTGTATTGACAAAATATAGACAAACTAATGGGGTTTATTGTTTTTATAATACCTCACTGTATATAGCATTCAACTAACATATCCTTATACACTTAAAGTATTAATATTGTTGATTCCCTGGAAATTGTTTAGAATATACCTTTCTTAGCAAAACAACGTTTGCCGGGTCAGCTAGTATATTTATAAATATTTTATTTTATTTACAGATCTATTTTGGGGAAAAAACAACGAATTTGGTGCAAAATGCTCTGCAAAATTTGGCAAATTAAGGTAAGATTTTCAGATTATTTTTATAATTATATATAT